CATTCGCAGACCCCTCCCCCTTCAAAATAATCCTGGACCCGCCCCTGATGTACATTCTTGATTAGATCAACAGTGATGTAAAAAAATCACTCGTCATTATTAGCCTCATTGCCACATATGATAAGGTACGTTGTTACATTTTTACATCAAATATGGTGAATTAGAGTTCGACCAAATAAAATCTTTCTGTTTTTTAAATGTTTTCACATGTTGTTTTTTGTACACATATACCGTTCATCAGTCACTGTACAACACTATATCAGGATTTTCCCCAGCAATACTATGCTAAGGAATCCAAGGAGGTGTAGGGGCAGTGAGCAAGATGCGCTCATAGCTGCCTTTTTAGAATTGCATTCGTCAACGAGTTCGCTGTCTTCGTTGCATTTGCTTTCCTTGCAGCAGCATTGGCAGCTTTCTGCGGTATACTGACATTCGTTTTTCTCACAGGTCATTTTGCTGTTAATGTAGGACTTACAGCCCACCGTTATCTGTTTAGGCGATTTGGCCCCGGTGGTGTAGTTCACAAACAACTGAAACATAATTAAGACAATTAATTAAGCTTCTGTTAGCCGTTGTGGGCAATAAACATTTCACTGAATTACTGATGTGACGGTGTATACCTTTTCTTTTATAGTGCAGCAGTGGCGAATGTATGCATGTTGAATGGTCTATTTTAGCAGCAGTACAATGCTCAGTTCGAAACACGTAGGAAGTTTGGTCTAACATGCAAGTCAAATGAGGTATGGACGATTCAAGACAAAAATACCAAGTAACCTAATAAAGGTATTACAATTACGTACCCAACAGATATCCGACGAGCACGTGTCGGTGATATTATGCAATTCTTCTGATTTTGTTGTGGTGCCCTGAGTGCAAGTAAACTGAAAGTTGAAATTAATAACAAATGTCAGCAAGAGTATGTCCAGTAATTCGTGATATTTTCTTTAGCATTTGTCATACAGAAGATTATGTGATGACGGTGAACTCGTGAAGAAAAAGAAGAAGAGAGAGAGAGAGAGAGAGAGAGAGAGAGAACAAAATTAACTCCATTATTAACTGAAACGCCAAAAAAGAAGATACCCACCTTTCCAGATTTGGGTGTGGTCTTGCCCTTTGTTGTTTCTGGCTGCGTGACACCACCCCCCGTGCCGGAGGAGGTCATTTGGGCCGTGGGTGGTGGAGTCGGTGCTGCACTGCCGGTATTGTTGGACGGGGCGGAGCTAGGAGTTGTGGGTGGAGCGCCCTGTGATGATGTTAATGGTGGAGCTAAAGACGACGCTGATGGTGTCTCTGATGACAACGCTGATGATGGAGCTGATGACAGCACTGATGATGGAGCTGATGACGGCCCTGATGATGGAGCTGATGATGGAGCTGATGACGGCCCTGATGTTGGAGCTGATATTGGAGCTGATGATGGAGCTGATGACGGCCCTGATGTTGGAGCTGATGATGGAGCTGATGACGGCCCTGATGTTGGAGCTGATATTGGAGCTGATGTTTGCGTTGATGACGGCACTGATGTTTGCGTTGATGACGGCGCTGATGTTTGCGTTGATGACGGCGCTGATGTTTGCGTTGATGTCGACGCTGATGTTTGCGTTGATGTCGGCGCTGATGTTTGCGTTGATGTCGGCGCTGACGTCGACGACGTTGGTGGCGCTGCAGTAGTCGAGATGGTTGTCAAAACTGAATACGTCGGAAGATTTGCCGTAGTATCTTCTACTACTTCAGTTGTCTCGGTGCTTATCACATCGGTAGTTGTTGGCACCATTGACGTATTAGTTGTAATTTCTGGCGCTGATGTCGTATTCTGGCAGTGAATTACTGTAAAAATAAATCAACAACATTGGTTAATTAAATCTGTAGTCCAGTGGTTGGTACAGGTAAACTGTTTTATTTCATAGGACTATATTTTTAAATATTAAAATCATTTAGATGCGTTGTGTATCTTCTTTGACCTAGATCATTGCAACCACACCACTACTTTACTGTCGATAAGAAACACGAACTGCACTTTTAATAACAAGGTGGGGCAAATGGCACAAAATACAAAATAACATGATCCTAGACTACATTTGCCACGGGCGCCGTGCGATTTAAAAGAGTATTTTCCGTGCGATTTATTTATTTATTTATTTATTTATTTATTTATTTATATCGTTAGAAGCTACGGGCTACGGCGAGTACGTTTTCATTAATTGCGGGTGCCGTGGTATTCCATGACATGACTTTGAGATCACGTGGGGAAAAATTGGGGGTCGGTTGAACAGTGACCGCACGGAGCCTTCTCAATCTCAGTGCAGTTGCCGCACGCCTTCAGTGTGGCTTCCTTGAAGGTCGACGCGTTTTTTGTACACCCCCTATTATTTTAAACACCCATGGAATCAGAGTACTCTCTGACCACAGGGTGCACTAGTAGTCTGTTACAAAAATTGCCGATAACGGTGTGATTTTGTATAGTATTTTAGTGGGGCTCTGATACCAGATTTAAGGATCAGAGTAAAGAAAAGCACAACTTCATGCAAAATTCATGCAAGTTTTCTTCAATCACCACCCCCCCCCCCCGCAAAGAAAAAATGAAATATTTAAACTGTCAAAAGATATTAGAAGTTTAGCCTATGAAATGATTCGTACATTTAACATACTTTTTTTGTCTTTTTACTACAAAAAGAAGTTGTTCATTGTGCAATTAATTAATTTAAATACAGTTGCAGATTACATTAATTGCATTTAAACCGTAGCTTGTGTTTCATAAACATTGTAAAAGACGTGTGTTATCTAAAATCAATTCCAGACCATCTTACCTCCGAACAGTGCCACAAGGACGGTCAATGTCACAGTTGTTCCCGTATTCATGGTGACCATACTTGACCTGATTTACCTGAAGAAGATATGATAAATACGTACAAGATTACACTATCGGTTATCTGAGTTTTAGATATGAGAACTATATATGTTCTTTATGCATCTGCATGCAGCCGTTAGATTGCAAATCCCACATACTAGAAATCCGTGTATTTTCTTAAAACGAATCGTTGATACATGTACAAAATTAAAATGAATAACAAAAAATATAAAACTTACATGCGCGAGTAGGTTCATTCAATAATGATTAATTTGTGACAATGATAAGCAAAATTAAAGTTGCAAGTTTTGCAAAATTGTAAAAAGCAATATGATTAAAGCTTTTAAAACATCGCATAGTGCACTAGCATATCGAAAAGTATGGCATTAGCCTTTGGAGTGTATGTAGACACATGTTAAATCTATCTCACATTTACCTAGAGACAACTACTATTGCTGCTTTTTGATGATACAAATGAAGACGACGACTACTTCCAGCAAAGTAGGTAATTTTATGTTTTTTAGATGCTTTTCCCATATCGTTGTAGATCCATGAGTGAAATTCCCCTCCCAACTCTCTCTCTCTCTCTCTCTCCCTCTCTCTCTCTCTCTCTCTCTCTCACACACAAACACACACACACACACACACACCTTTATACTGAGCTCGTGAATCCGAAGTGACATGGCATACACAAATCTTGTTTTCTACCTCAGCTTTGCTAAATCGATATTTTTTTTTTATTTCCGTGACGTGCCATTGGCTGGTTCTCGTTATGTCAAGAGGGTATCCTTTATTTCTTTACTGTATTTCCCTCTTATCTTATGCAAACAAAACCTTTAATATCAGGTAGTTAATCATGCTTTATGTTCACATTTTATGGAGTTTTGATTGAATCCGAATAGATCTGCCAGACACACTCGCTACAGCTAGAGGGCAGTGCGTGGTGTTTCCACAGTCGCACACGGGTAGGCCTTCCATTTGGTATAACGACGTGTGTCGCGTGTGTTAGCTTCCCTTCACTCAGGGACAACGCTTGTTTGACGCAATTTAATAAATAGCCACGGTTAAGTTTTCATAGATAAAAACATTAAAGGTATCAAGGTAAATGTTTTCTGATAGACTCTTCTTTAATAAAAAAATCTGTGTGTTTACTTTCGGGAGACAAAAGTATTAAATCGTATCTTAATGGAACATTAATGTTGACAGCTTGAGAAGGCCGGGCGCCGAGGAAACGGCCCCTGTGAAAATATGTCTCATTTGACTCTCACTTACGGTTCTCAATCTGTCCTAGAACATGACGTTTTTCTCTATTAATGAAAACTGTTCTTTGTCTGTTCTAGGACATTCTGAAGGACTTAAAAAACCGTTCTCAAACTGTTACATTCATTACATAACAACATTAGAACCGTATAAAAATACACCAAATGTTCTAGAATAGATTGAGAACTGTAAGTGAACGTTAAACGAGACAATGAGGGGGGGGGGCGTCAATAAAAAGCCACTAAATGTATGCTATCGACATTGGAATAAGAGAAAAATAAAGAAAAAAATACCAGAAATATAATTTACCCATTGTGTACCAGAGCAAGCCTCTAGATTGCGACATCTGCGAAGTTGCACAAACAACGTCTGATCTATCGTTTTTGTTTACATTAAGAGGTGTCAGAGATAGTGTTTAGTACCATCTAACAACGCCGACTGTGTGAGCTTGTGCTACCACACTGATTGCTACCTGCACATTGAAGTCTTTTGTGAAGCTGGCATAGTTCTGATGTCTAATTTTTGGATTCTCATTTATAATATACTTCTGTTCAATTTCTAGATTCCTATGATTACGCGCGCTGGCTGTTGCAAAGTTCATCTATACAAAGTAGAAAACGAGCCTTATACAAGCGTATTAAAATATCACTTGTACTTACTTCATTATATTAAGTAAAGTCAGTATTATCCTTATTGTGTTCATGTATATATATATACTTCTCTTCGTAGATTAGTGGGCCAGCAAATGTCAAACCATGTGCACATTTGGTGCTCAATGAATATTATTATTATAGTATCATAATATTACATGATTTAGATACATCATCCGATTAAGTACCCCACTCTTTCAAAGAGGCTGATACTGAAGCTGTAGACAAAAATGAAGAAATATTGTTTCTGGTACACTGACTTGAAACAATAATTTATAACATCAGTAGAACAATGAAGAAAGGCCACGACATCCCTTTTGTTAAAAAATATGAACGAACAATGACCAAAATTCAGGAAATTCTAACATAGAAAAGTCACATTCTTCATATGACTATACATTCATTAAAGATGATAAGAATCCTTTAATTCCATTTTATCACCTCCCTTTTTTATTTTCATATTTGTTTTGCCTTTGACGTAATGTTATTGTACACAAACCGCTACCGTATGTACCATTTATTGCTGATACACTTGACTCAAGCGTGCAATAAAGACGTTTGCCACGACAACAAAAAATAGACAAACTAGTCGGATCCACCCATTGTAAAAATTGTGGCTCATCAGCCTTTTTCCTTCGCTAGAGATGACCCTATTCCCAGTGTTAAAGCGCATGCCACAGGATGCTGGCAGCGGTGTTATTTCATAAGGAAGTCCTTTTTGGGATACATTAACCCGAATCAATATCCACTTAGGACATGAAAACACTGACATCAAGGTTAACAAACGCATCTCATATATTATGATAGGAAGAAGCGCAAGAAAACAATTGTTCTTAATTAATTGAATCAAAATACAGAACATGTAGCCTGTAATTCAACCAAAGTAAAGCGACTTTAAATACTGACAACTGTCGTACTTAATATGAGTAACAATCCGTTAGTGATTACTGAAATGAAAGAAAAAGAAAATGTTTTTATCTATTTATTTTTGTTTATTTTCCTTTTTATCCTTTTCGTGTGAGTGAAGATAAAACGTGTTCTACATGTATGGCAAGCCTCAAATATTAGCCAAAAGTAAAAGAAGAAAGTTTTTTCTGTCGAGTTTCATTTTCTAATATAATAAAAAAAAAACACATTTCTTCGAACGTATCTCTTCGAGAGATAATATGTGAACAACGAAAGTTAATCTTTTTGATATTAACCCAAGCTGTTTCAGCGTAATTATCCAAACAAAAGTAAAAGAACAAAGACACAGTTTTTTCTGTCGAGTTTCTTTTTCAGTCAATTTTGATAGACTATATTAGTTTCTCCTGATTCTTCCAAACTTTTAAGTTAAATCAATGAGACCTAAGAGAAATTAAAGATACTCAAGCACGAGGCACTACAGAAAACCTTGATTATCACTGAAAATCAAATTAAATGTTCCAGTAGATTATAAGCCAAATTTTGGGTTAAAACAAATAACAGGAACTACTTTTAATTATTTTTGATACACACTCCATAGCTAATTAAGTTTAAATTTTATCTATGTAGAGAACCTAATTTGAAATTTTTGATGAAAAGATTCTTTTCATCAAATATTTCAAATTAGGTTCTATAAAAATTCTCATATAATAAAAAACACATTTCTTCGAACATATCTCTTCGAAAGATGATATGTGAACAACGAAAGTTAATCTTTTTTATGTCAACCCAAGCTGTTTTCAGGGTGAATCTACGTAACGTTTATCATATGATAATAAGTGGTAACTAAAAAACATCTTACCGAATTAACCCAGAATATTTTCTTCTCGTGTCTTCTCTTTTGTTGTCAAAGCTGTATTAACATCAACCACCACGGTGTCTGATACCAGTGTTTCCTGATAAACCTTGTTGCCATGGTGAAATCATAACTTTATCGTGTTGGCGAGAATCATAAGATACGACATGAGGGGGCACCTGCAGCGTGACCAAGATGTCCAATGTGACATGTCAGTATCTGAATGACCGTATTGAACATAGTATAAAGATTTTTCTTCATGGATGATTTTTATTATTGTGTCCAATTTGTATGGGATATTAGATGAGATGAAATTGGACATTTAGAAAAGGGACATATGCTTCCTTACAACGTCACGCAGCACAGTTCAGTCTACTTTTAATTTAAAGCTCAATTTCAAACCATGCAATGATTTCGTGCTGTCGAACGTTTAATAGTACTATGAATATCAATTTTAAAACATCGGTCGTGTGAATGTAATAAGAAACGATGCATTTATTTAGCTGATAACCAAATAGGTTCTGGCACCTTCCAGTTTAGCCAGAGAGTGCCCTCCCCGGGGTTTCCGTTCTCTGAACTAATCAAGTGTTCTTATACCAGTTGAAGAGTCACCACGCTGCGTAATAAAGATAAGATCTGTCGGACAGACAGCTGGCTGTTCAGTGGGTTTATATGGATTAGTTCACAGCAACAAGGATGTACTTATGACAGACTGCTTTTGGTTTCCAAAATAAACCGAAGATACGAATTTATTTTTTAATTATTTTATCTGAATATTTATCAAAAGATTATCTCGATAGATCCAGAGTCCAGATCCATCTACCCTCTTCGCGTCCCTTGTGTCATGGAGGGAGCCGGGGGGGGGGGGGGGGGGGGGGGGGGGAGTGTTGGATACCTTAGGGCCTGGATCCCAGGCTGATCAAAAGCCTTGCATTGATAAACGAATGTCACACACGACATCAGTATTTGGAGATTTGTCGTGATCAGTCACTGGGGTATGGGGGTTAGGGTGGGGGTACAAAATGTAAAGTAAAATCTCTGATGTTTGTCCAGTGACAAATTGGTGATGTACATATTATTGGTATTGGAGCGATGATTTTGCCCTAAGTCCGGGTTCAAACAGGATGTCCCCGGTTCTGGTATCACATTGATGTCAATACTTCAAAATGTTTTTTTTTTTTTTTTTTTGGTATGTAGAGACGGATGCTAAAAAGTCATAAAAAATAACAGGCTTTATATCAGTTTACGTTTATTAATTGCTCATTTATTGGCGCCATTTTGATATGCTCCAAAAGAACACACAAGACACTTTGCCTAAATTAGCCGTGGAACAAACTTAATTTTTTATCAATGCCGTACTGTATACTAGTATATAACATTCTATAAAAACAGAGACATAAAGCTTACAGGCAAACAGCAGAAACATTGCGACCTTCATTCGTGACTTTTAGCCTATGATTCAATTCACTTCCACAAAAAACAAACAAACAAAAAAACGACACACCAAAATATGATAGCCTTGAAACTATTTTGCTTAACTAGGACACAACCCATCCCATCTCTCCACTTTTATATTACTAAGTGAATGGATAATTGTTGTACTCTTTGACCGAGAGTTTAAGCTGTTGGTCAGCTGTGTTGCAGCTGCGATGTTAAAGCGGGTACAACTCGCTGCAATGATGTCACCACTGAGAGCGCAACTAACACAATCTCAGGTCACTGATAGCACTGTGTGTGTGTGAGAGAGAGAGAGAGAGAGAGAGATTATGTCTTCTTGTACCTCCACAAACAATTTTGAACCATCTCTTACTGAATGTTGGCTTCTGTGAGTTTTTTCTCCTGGGTAAGATAATACAATGCATATAAAGCAAATAAAGTCACAAGGCTACATGTGGTTTTGACACAGAGCTCACTATTCATCTTTTCTTTTGTCACGTCTGGTCACATCTTTCTGTCTTGAAAAGACAACTGTATACATCAACATTAACTTAAATCATCAATATAGAAAATTAAGGTTAACGAACAATGTTCTGTTTTATGTTCAATAATTTACATAGTTTAAAATTAACAAGATATTTACTTAACAGTATATGACAGTTAATTTATCCATTCTTTACTAAGTATAAAAATACACTCATAAAATAATTGAAGAAAAGTGTCATACACATTACAGTGTATTTCTCCTACGGTCGTAATCTTACATGGATTCTTCATATGCAGTCGGTTATCCGAGATTATCAAATCTATTTCCATGCTTGAAATAGTTTGCAACCAATATGGCCAGCCACAGGCCAGGTTGTAAGAGGCCCAGGTTCAAGGAAGACGTCGCTGAAGTTGGCGAGACACTCGGTGTGGGGACAGTTGAAGTAGTGTTGACTCCCGGGACCGTTGGCCCTCCTGCTATAACTGATCCATTAGCCGAAGTTGTGGCTGTTACATCAAAATTGAGAAACCAGTAATTAGGTTTTTTAAAATCAAACGACCCCCTTATTAATACATGTACAACCGGGGACGAATCGAACCGGCAAATTTTATTTATATTTTTATCTAAATGGTTTACTACTGGTTTAATCGGAAAAAAGGCAAAATAATGCTTCGTAATAGTTCATATCTTTCAAAGATATCTTACAAAAATGTCAAACTAATCGCTGGATTAAAGCTGGTCAACCATGCCAGTTTTCAAAGTAAAATTTTACTTGGTGAGAGTATGACGTATTATATATCACTGTCTCACACTGTCTTATTTGCTTTTAAAGTGCTCGTTTTTATGGTAATATTATTCAACATTATAAAGGGATAACAACCGTTCACTGGGGCCAAAAAATGAATTTCCCATGGGTAAACGACGATTTCCCATACTTATCAATAGTTAAAGAATCCGTTCCAACATACGAAGTTAGTCCCTGTTTTTAAACAAAAAATTGTTATTTATTTATTTATTTATTTATTTATTTTAATTTTTTATGATCAACAATGATCTTATAGAAAGAGTTGTTATCCCTTTAAATGATTAAAATAACGCGATAAAAAGCTTTTTTGCCAATTTAATGTATGCCAAATATAAGGTATTGGACCCCCTGTATTGTAAAATTCACCAGTCCCCTGCCCCTATACTACATTGGCTAAAATAATTTTGTAAGACTTACCGACTGTTGATATCGCAGTGGTGGAACTGGAAGCACTCTGGCTGAAGACGCTAACACATGCTAATACTAAAAACAGAAAAATCATCTTTACAATTTTATATTTTTATCTTTTTCATCATATATATATATATACTGTTTATTTATTTATTTATTTATTTATTTATTTATTTATTGTCTTCTACATGCACTAGAAAATAATTTAGTAAAGCCGATTTGTCAATGCTTTGTTTTAAATATTAAAAACAAAATTCACTTCTAAAGAATAGCATTTGAATTATCCCTCTATAACGTTTCATGATCATACTGTCACTAGATTTCAATTTAATTTGACGAAAATTCCCCCTGTACCAAGTGTCCACTCACCTAAACAAAACAAGGTCACTGAACGATGTCTTGCCATGATCAGTATCTTATCAGTATATCACCTCCAAGGATTTGGTCTTTCTGAGGATCTTGACTCGGGACAAATTTTGAGTTCAAACAGCTAAAATACAACAAAATAACAAATATGAAAATATATATATGTAAATGAAAAAAGTAAGGTGAGTTCCATTCTGTGGTCTCCGCGAATATTTGGCATGTTGTATACACATGCTGCTATCTCCTACCTACTCACCGGTAGTCTAGTTTTGTATCAACAAACACAAACCAAATGCTTGGGTTACCACATGTATTAAGTATGATTTCACTCCAGCCACCGTAAACCAGTGTTTAGCTTTATAATCCCGTAAATCTCAGGTCAGTCATTCAACAATCGCATCTTGCTTCGCAACTAAGGCATCAGCAAAGTGATACTGCGTAAAGAAATGACTCTCAAATCAACTCTGATATTTATCAGATTGATTTATCAGATATAAGGTTGGATTGCACTGTTATATTTAGTATCATATACTTGTACCGTGTATAAGTCTTAATATAAGAAACAACCACTTCCATTTTAATGGTTTTAAACAGGAAAAAGTTAAACTCCGTTTAAATGTTTAAGAATAGAAACATAAATCAATATCTACAAGAGATAAATCAAGTCTAGATACATAGTCAAGAAATATTTTACAACAAATTGTGTAGGTTTTTGCTACTATAAACATCATTACTGAGCGTATGTATCTTAGATTCACAAACCCAATTCTGAATTTTTTGACATTAAGTGGTACCATAAAATTTTCTATTGAAATATGTCAAAATTAGTGTGCTTTTCGTGGGCAAAGACAAAGACATGTAATTACACCAATTTAATCGATAAATAACTGCGGTTGGTAAAATTAAAATAAATAAAAATAAGTCGATCGCACTCACCTGATGCCTAATATTTCGGTTTTGATCACCAAGTGGCGTGGAAAGTAAAGTTTCTAAATTCTTGTGACAAAAATGCATTTAGTCATCATTTGTTTATAGGCAACACCAAAACATCCTGATAAAACAAGTTTATCAGCGTGGAGACGAACGCGGTGTGAACCAATCACGTACAGACTACGGGAACAGCTGAAATTGTTTACCAAGAAACAAAGAAATGTGTATGGAAAACACTTTCGCTGCCGCCGCCGCTGCGACTGATATGGCCGCGGGTGCTGCGTGATTCTTCTCTGCTTTGTTTTGGACCATAAAGAGATATCTAGTTTTGCAAAAGCCACAAGTTCAATTTTTGAAGTAGGGTTATTGATGATAGATTTTTAAATGTTCCACATAAAACTTCGTACTTAAAACGCGTGCATGCATCTTAAATGAGTATTTAATTTAGCTTTTCATTTGTTCCTTTCTCTTGGACATGTACTCG